ACTAAGGGAACTAACTAGCCAACTGGCCCACGTGAAGTAGGTTTTACTTACTTATTTTCACTCGTATGACTCTGGCTTACTTCTGAATTTTTCCAAATTATTTGGTTGAGTGCCGCTGTGTGCCATTGTGTGCCACTCCTCCGCGACTCTATTGCTCCATCAATCTGGGGATGTTCGATGAGCTTGTAGCTGTTTTTTTATCTATACAGAATAGGGTAGCAGTACATTGTTGTGTGTACCTAAGCTTGTTAATAAAAAAATAAATCCTTGCCTACATCTTTCCATTTTTAAATGCTAAATTTGAATCTTACATAACGATTTTTTTCTTGATAATATTTTCAATACCATCTTTAAAATTTGTATATTTATGTCGTTCTTCTGTTTGTATACTTCTGTATTATGTATGTCAACTCTCATTCTACGTCTTCCAAATGGGACACAAAAGTATCTTCAGCTACATATACATAATAATGATTCATGATGATGAGACCAATCTGTGTCATCTCAATTTGTAGTATGCAGCCAAAATGCATTGTATAATCTAAGCCAGGCTTCAACAGACTAAAATACAGCAATAATTTAACATTAGTATTTCTTTCACGATCAGATTTACCAATATCTTCAGCTAATGATAAATAATTTATCTGGCTCCGTTACTACGAGGTAATTGGCATGTATAATCACAATATTAATCTAACCATTGAGTAAGGCTTACATTCTCCGTTCGATTTCTCCACAATAAAGAGGCCAACAGAAGAGAAAAGGTTGTCGTGACCCACCAGGACCACATGCTCGAGGATGGAACAGTTGAGTGTCGCTTCTCATGCGACACTCAACTGCCCAAAGGGTCTCTGGAGCACGGAGCCTCCCCCTCCACGGACCTGAGTATCCTGTGTGTGGTGTAGGGTCCCGGGTGTGGTGTAGGGTCCGGGGTGTGGTGTAGAGTTCGGGGTGTGGCGTAGCCTTGGTGGCTGACTTGTCTTACTCACGAGGACAACTCCACACTTCCTCTCGCATCTTCATTTCACTACCTGTTTCTTTTTTATGTTATTATACATAAGAATGTCACAGAGCTGTACGCAGTAGAAACGAATGTCACGGAGCTAGCTGTACGTGGTACAGGCAACTGTCACGGACCTACAGGCGGTGCAAACGAACGTTACGGAACTTTTCGGAGTACTGATAAACCTCACGGGGGAATACAGGAGGTGGTCGGCCCATGGCATCAACCAACTTAAATACTTCAAAGCTATGGTTCTAATTTGGTTTGACAGATCAATTTACAATGCTGTCTAAACTTCCTGGTATTTCTACACATAAACTGGGACTGCTCTGAAATGTTTGCCTTTCCGCTTCACACTTTATTTACTCACACGCGTTACATAAACACAAATTTCACGTAACATAATTTTCAACCTGATTTTATCTCCCCCCCCACACCAAATGATCGCCATTTACGACCGAGGGCCTACCCAGGACCCCCTTCCCCTCACCCACACATGTCAGTGCCTGGCATGTGTGGGTGAGAGTCCCGGCAGAGCTGAGAGTGAAATCTGATAGTAGAAATCCTACGTACACTTGTTACCTTAATCCTTTTAAAGGAAAACTCATTCTTAAACATTGATTTGTGTAAGATCCACAGACATGAATCTACTCTAGATTTTAGAGAGCATAGACTAACAAGCATCACTTGTTAAGTTCTTCACTGAAAACATTAGCTCATTGAAATTTTAGTTGCTGGTATAGTCTACTTCTCTATTCTCGTTCTGTGGGTGACGTCATACTGTTACTGCTGCTACTGCTCTCCTCAGTCCTGAGTCACAAACTTTGATGCTCTGTAACTCAAGATTTGTCCCATGTTACTAAATTTATCTGCTGTCTATCCTTCCTAGATAAAGGGATCTACCTAGATAGATTACTGCTATGATTATCTTATGATTCAACCAGAAAATTTATGGTCTCAGCTAATGCTGAAATCATGTTTCTTCGAAACCTCAATGTTGGCCACAAGGACCGGCTTCTGTCTTCTTCCAGTTGTCCTCTGTGATAAGCAGCATTAAACGTGTTCAATTCTTAATGTCCGGTAATCATATCTCAAATCTTAGTGACATGGAACAACTTGTTTATTCCTAATGAAAAGGCAAGTCAGTCTTTCTCAAAGCTAAGCCAAGCTTTCTTATACACAAAAATTTATCTTTAAATTCTGGAGCTTCTTTTCGTCCTACAAATTGATACTCATGACGTCTTAATACCTTTTTGTTTCTCTGACAGCCGCCATTTATGGTAAAAAAAAAAATGGTCCACCGTCAACTGGATGTGGTAAAAGAATCCTGTCATCACAAACATGTGGCAAACATATTCCACAGTCAGCCAGACGAGGTAAAAATATCGTCACAGGCAGGTGTCACGTCGTGGGAAAGAATAGGTCAAGTTTCCAATGGGAGGAGGAACAGGAGCTCGTCCACTTGCAGCGTCCAGCCGCCCGCCCCTCGTCACCTGCGGTGACGGTTCAATAATAATCATCATCATCATCATCATCATAATAATAATAATAATAATAATAATAATAATAATAATAATAATAATAATAATACATTATTCATCCAATAAAATACCACAAAGAACACCAGAAGATAGGTATCAGCAGCCCCTCCCTGACCCCACACGTGTGACACCGAAGCTCTGTTGACTATTAAGTAGTCTTAGTAGTATCTATTAAGCAGTATCGAGCAGAAAGCTGCTTCTGGAAACTTTCTCCACGAGACTACTCAATAGCTCGGTCGATAGAGCTTTGGCTTCGCACACTTGGGGTCCACAGTTCGAGTCTCCCATTACCACGGGAGTGTGGATGACAATTTATAGGTATCAATAGCCTTTTGACAGTACAAGGTGGCTGCTACTATAGTAGTCTTGTTAGTAGGAAAAACCTGTCAATACTAAAGTGGTTCTTTTCACAGTCTGATAAGGAATTATCAGGTGAACCGTGATTTGGATCGCCGAGGCTGTGATAGCCTACATGACAAGCTAGGCGAGAGCTTTTCATATAAGGGAATAGGGAACGTGTCAATAAATGTTGTCGTAGTGTACTGTGGAGCAGAGATGTATATCAAATAGTGTATAGTTTTTGGCGTAACCCTTGAGCGTCAGTAACATTGTATATGTTATAAGGTTTTTATATGTTTTTTTTAGCGAAGGAGGACAGTTATAGAGACGCACGCGAGCGGGGGGCGCACCGCCATCACATGTGAATACTCACGTATGCATCAATACATGTGCATGTGTGTACACATGCACCTGTATGTGTGCGTGTGTAGTTACACGTATTCGTATGTATGGCCATATATGCTTATTTACATATAAATGCGCATGTAAGTTGTTACTAAAACAAATTATTAAATTTTGCAGAGGGCTTGTGGTGAGAAGCAAACCCAAACCAAACTAGGAATAGTACACATGTATTAAATTAGGCCTGAGGTGGTGTATGTTGGATGATAAATGATAATATTTATGTCTAAGACAGGTCTGGTTAGGTTCACGGTTTTGTACTGTCCATCCAAAGAAGTTATAAGTAGAGGGGGGGGGGGGTAGAAATAGCCTAAGCTACTCTATCCTTTTTTGAGATGTATTTCTTTCTTGTCTCAATAAACATACTTGAACTTGAAGTTATAGGTACTTCCATTCAAAGAAGTTATAGATACTTCCACCCATAGTAATTATATACAGGTTCTGTCATTTTAGAGCATGGGTTGGCATTCCCATATTCTGGTTTGGCGCTCTCTTGGGATAGCTCGCACGCATGTAAATAAAAATGCACATGCGAGTATGTGTATATATGCAAGCATATTATTATTATTGTGTGTATACATCTACTCACCTAGTTGTGCTTGCGGGGGTTGAGCTTTGGCTCTTTGGTCCCGCCTCTCAGTCCTGCAGGACTGAGAGGCGGGACCAAAGAGCCAAAGCTCAAGTAGGTGAATACAAATAAGTGTGTACACACCCGCCCGCACGCACACACGTGCACGCACGACCCCCCCCCCCCGCACACAAATAAACTGATAATCACCAAGTTTGTTCGGTCGTTGTGGCCGGCTGTGACCTGTGTTGCCATGTGCCGAATTTTAGATGAACATTTACACTTGTTTAGGCTTATATAGGACTTTATTTATCAGCAATACTGATCAAATTATTAAGTAAACCGTCTTCCTATCTTTCTATCACCTTCCCAATCGCTCTTTATCTCTCTATCTTCCCTCCCTTTCATTTTTCCTCCCTTTATCCTCCTTTTTTAATATCTTCTTCCTCTCTTTATTCCCCTCCCCTTCCGTCTCCCGTTATCTTCATCTCCCCTTTTGTTATCCTTCATCTTCCTCCCGTTAGCCTAGCGTCTGCTTTCCCTGTGAGAGCAAGCAACACGTCCCTCACAGCCCTACACAAGCCAGGCCAGTCCGTTCCCCTACGGTCTCCCAACGCCAAGAAAACGGGTCAATATAAAGTGTCCTCTCCTAACCTACCAGAGGACCTAAAACAGAAAATGGGACAGTACTTCACTTTCGCGAGCCGCTTCTATTTTCTAGTACGACAGTTAAAAGAATGGACAGGATAATCACAGACCAGCAGTACGTGCACCAACATGTCTGGAACACACGTGCACAGCCACAACAGATGCCAATGCTCATAGAACACAATTCATTACACAACTCAAGCAACTCCAAATCAGAAAACGCACAAAACCACTGCAGAAATACAACATGGACACAAAATACAATAACTTTTGGTGTCAATAAAACAGATTGACAGTTTTACGGAGGTCCTGCTAAAAACATTGAAGATCATGGCAAAGACCTTATGTAACGCATACGGGCGAAAAAGCGACGTTGTTGGTAAGAGTTGCGCCAGGAGCGGAGACAATTAACGTCTCTCATGTTTACTCTCACGGCGAGTGAGGAGCTCCAGGCTGTATATTATCTCATATACTTAAACATCATAAACCTTTGTCGTGGTTATGTTAGGATGAGGATTAACTGTGTTTGGCACGGAGTGTGGCCACTGGCTGGAGGCGGAGTGTGGCCACTGGCTGGAGGCGGAGTGTGGCCACTGGCTGGAGGCGGAGTGTGGCCACTGGCTGGAGGTGGAGTGTGGCCACTGGCTGGAGGCGGAGTGTGGCCACTGGCTGGAGGCGGAGTGTGGCCACTGGCTGGAGGCGGAGTGTGGCCACTGGCTGGAGGCGGAGTGTGGCCACTGGCTGGAGGTGGAGTGTGGCCACTGGCTGGAGGCGGAGTGTGGCCACTGGCTGGAGGCGGAGTGTGGCCACTGGCTGGAGGTGGAGTGTGGCCACTGGCTGGAGGCGGAGTGTGGCCACTGGCTGGAGGCGGAGTGTGGCCACTGGCTGGAGGCGGAGTGTGGCCACTGGCTGGAGGCGGAGTGTGGCCACCAGCTGAAAACAAGTATGGGTAGTGTGAAACTATCAGGAGAAAGCGCCAAGCCATTACGACTATATAGCACTTGGTCCCTAAAGGGATCAGGATAAGAATATGGGATGGGACCGGGGAAGGAATGACGCCCAGCAACCACTTGAACAGTCGGGGATTGAACGCCGACCTGCATGAAGCAAGACCGTCACTCTAACGTCCAGCCCAAATGATTGGGTAGTACGAGTAGGAGTTGAAGTTATAAATAAAATAAAAATAAAAGGACCCAGTCTATGGAACCCATACTTTATTTAAAAACAAAAACAAAAAGTACATAATTTCATCCTCATAGTTTCCGACCTTGTGCTGCCCAACGCATCCAGTTTAGTGCTTAAGATATATTCAACGTCATCACTATACGTTATACTATAAATTTGTAAGGTAGTAATTATGTATAACTCAAATTCTGTTACCTTCATGCTTTACCTTCGGGACCTTAACACCTGCGCGTGTTACTGGCTTGGCGCGAATGTTACACTCACACCCCCAGTGTTTGTACTTTCTCAACCCAGCGTACCTTCTGGCATATCAATAATAAATAAGTAAATAAATAAATAAATAAATATATAAAATAAAATATATTATGCAAATTAAAAGATTTGAGTAACTGGCTGTTTCAGAGTGGTCCAAGGGATGTTCCAGGGGGCAGAGTGGTCAATGGGGCAGAGCAAGAGGTGAGTGAGTGTGGCAGGTGTCCAGGGGGCAAGCCAGGAGCATCAGCAGGTGAGTCATGGCTGGAATTCCATGGGGAAAGGGGGACGGCGGTGCACGTGATGGTCGGCAGGTTCCTTCCAACTCTCTCTCCCCTCCCACACACACTCACTCACCTCCCATACACTCTCCCCTCCCACACACACTCACTCACTCCCCTCCCACACACACTCACTCACTCCCCTCCCACACACACACACTCCCCTCCCACACACACTCTCCACCTCCCACACATCCTTCCTGCTGTCACAAGCCTTCATAACAATGCCTTATCTCCCGTCTTGCTCCCGTGCAGCATGTCTCCACCGAGCTGCCAGACACAAGTGTATATGTCACGTCTGATCTCACCAGCCACCTGCGCTTGAGCAACGCCAGCTCATAAAACAAAATGTGTGTAAACCCCGAAGTCGTGACCAACTCTGAATCAACATCTTCTCTAAACTTGTTAAAAAGTGTATCAACAATCTTTGTTTTTATTCTCTCTCCCTAAACTGTTTATTCTTCGCAGAAGCCTTGTCTGCTTCTGTCGTCCCTACTACCCACGGCGGTCTCTCTCTGTCCTCTTTACTGAAACTAAGAGCTAGGCAAGTGTGGATTTGGTGGGCGGTAATGGAAGGGCTACAGAGAAATATTAGGTGTTCAAGAACTGAAGATCAATATTTTGTGAGCTTGGTAAGCTGTAAAGCTGGTTATAATGATTTAGTTACAAGAGGACCATCCTGCAGGATGTCGCCCCAACGTCGAACACCAACTAGACGTACGCAACGAGCCTTGCACCAGACCTGCAGGGATTGAACTACTAGTATGTGACAGTGCTGAGAGAGCTCTACCTTACCATACTTTTTTCAAAGCGTTTCTGTCCGAAACGCTTTGCGTAATAGTGGCTTTAGGCATTGTATGTACTAGCTCTATCTATAAATCTATCAATATTTGTAAAATCTCTTGTATGTATGTACCTTACCTGAATAAACATTTATTATTTATTATTTTACTTGAAGACAGGCGGAATCGAAAATATAAAATAACGATAGCTGATAAGGTTTATGAGGAGGACATGTTGTTAATAAGGCAGATTAGATAGAACGAGAGGACGGAAATAGAAACTTGAGGCGTAGATGGGTGACAGGGATGTTGGAAAGACATTTTTACCGTTATAGAAGCTAGCAAATGGTATGGACAAGGCTTTACAGCGAGTGGTTGTAGCAATTAATATATTAAATTATGTTAACACTAAATATGACAAGACGCAGGAGGGTCGGAAATCACTGCATCAGACAACACCTTGCGAGGCTGGGTACAGAATTTGACTGTTGTTTCAGATTCAGCTTCTCGGCATAAAAAGTTGCAAGTAGCACGGGCTATGGTGAGCCCGTAGTGGATTTACCTGGCACAGGAGCGGGGCTGTATGACGGATGCGCTGAACTTGGTAACTCTGCCTTCGTCACGTACTGAAAGTTATAACTTGGGAATATTCTCTGTTCGGAACAAAGGTTCACTTACCAGCTTACAAGTAGGCTATCAGTGGAACCGTAATATGCTTTCAGACCATCACAAACATCTTGATAACTATCCAGGCGATTTGAGGGAGGGTTTGGTGTCTTGTGGTGATGGATTTGCTCTGAGAACGGGGCCACATACTCGACCCATGTGGTGCCTTCCTCACATGGTGGGTCCACATGCTGCCTCCCTCACGGTACTCACCCACCTCAAGTGTAAAACATTCACACGTACGCAGACTGAGTCACCAGGAAACATTCTCTATCACAAGGCGAGAGGCGAACTTTAAAAACAAAACACATAGCTGCTGGCTAGTTTAGTTAATTTATTATGCGTCCCATACCCATCCTGTGGGCGGCGGTGGAAAGGGTTACAGAGGCACATAATGGGCTCAGGGACTGAACCGCAAAATTCATTGTGCTGAGCAAGTTACAGTCTTGATGAGCGTCACGCTGTTCCTCCTTGTTATTACACGTTACGGTGTAGTTTGTTATCTTTGTCTCATGTCATTCTTTGTCTCATGTCATCCTTTGTCTCATGTCATTCTTTGTCTCATGTCATCCTTTGTCTCATGTCATTCTTTGTCTCATGTCATCCTTTGTCTCATGTCATTCTTTGTCTCATGTCATCCTTTGTCTCATGTCATCCTTTGTCTCATGTCATCCTTTGTCTCATGTCATTCTTTGTCTCATGTCATTCTTTGTCTCATACCATCCTTTGTCTCATGTCATCCTTTGTCTCATGTCATCCTTTGTCTCATGTCATCCTTTGTCTCATGTCATTCTTTGTCTCATGTCATTCTTTGTCTCATGTCATCCTTTGTCTCATGTCATCCTTTGTCTCATACCATCCTTTGTCTCATGTCATCCTTTGTCTCATACCATCCTTTGTCTCATGTCATCCTTTGTCTCATACCATCCTTTGTCTCATACCATCCTTTGTCTCATGTCATTCTTTGTCTCATGTCATCCTTTGTCTCATGTCATTCTTTGTCTCATGTCATTCTTTGTCTCATACCATCCTTTGTTTCATGTCATCCTTTGTCTCATGTCATCCTTTGTCTCATGTCATCCTTTGTCTCATGTCATTCTTTGTCTCATGTCATTCTTTGTCTCATGTCATTCTTTGTCTCATGTCATTCTTTGTCTCATGTCATCCTTTGTCTCATGTCATCCTTTGTCTCATACCATCCTTTGTCTCATGTCATCCTTTGTCTCATACCATCCTTTGTCTCATGTCATTCTTTGTCTCATACCATCCTTTGTCTCATACCATCCTTTGTCTCATGTCATTCTTTGTCTCACACCATCCTTTGTCTCATGTCATTCATTGTCTCATACCATCCTTTGTCTCACACCATCCTTTGTCTCATATCATCCTTTATTTCACGCTGTCCTTTGTCTCCATGTATATCTTGCCCCTCATTAAGTCTGGCGCGGCCTAGTTGTTCCTCAAATAGTCTACTCACGCACACAACCATTATTGAGTGTCCAGTTATTAGGCCCTTGAGACCTGCCGGGACCGATGAGGCGCCTGAAGGTGTGTAAGGACCAACCACTCCCGTATTCTCTAAGATGTCCTCATAATTCATCCATGGTTGGCCGGTGCTGGAGCCATTCTGTGGGATGGCGATTTTTAGTTTTCCATAGTTGGCTCTTGACACAAAGTACGTAGCCCTTCATATATAGTCTAGGGTTGCTGTGTTAATGCCAGATGTGTCTAGTATGTTACTAACAACTTGAAATCAACGCGTTAGCTGTTCGTCGCTTGGATGAGCATCTCGACGCCCGCCATCCGTCCACCGGCCGCGGTCCTCAGCCCCGTCACACCCCAGAGAGCTATAAATACTCGACCTGTCCTGAGGTCACCCAGGTAAGGTATGGACTTCTGGCTGCTACTCGGACCTCTTCGCCTCCTGCTGCTTTGGATGTTGCGTCTATACTGCGACATGCACCCAAGAATCCTCGGCCCGCTGCTGGGTTAAGCCCTGGCTCTACTCTCTACGACTACGAAATTTCCTCTCCAGACTATTCTTCCGTCCGTCCCCACTTCCCGCTCCCCCTTTACCTATGTAATCGATTGATTGATTGAGGTCACCCAACACTCTCCATCCCTCACCTCTCACCTGACCCTTCCTAAACTCTGCCTGAACATTCGACAGCGTGTGAGAACTTATAATTTGATAACCAAAATATGCATGACATTACCCATCTATCTTCTTGTACATAAATAAACTAGGTGAAGTACCCGAGTCTTCTCGGTGCAAAAATGTGCATCCCCGCGTGGTGTGGTGGTAAGACACACGCCTGGCGTTCCGCGAGCCCTTTGTCCAAGGTTCGTATCCTGGCCGGGAAGGATTTACTGGGTGCCAATCTTTAACTGTAGCCTCTGTTTACCCAACAGTAAAAATGGGTTCCTGGTTGTTAAATGATTTAGCGGGGTCGTATTCCGGGGAAAATAGGATTAAGGACTTGCCCGAAACGCTATGCGTCCTAATGGCTGTACAATAATGTAAAAACTCTTGTATAAATAAATAATAAATAAATAAAGGTTGTGCCATTTAGGGCTAGGAGCCCCAAAATGAAGATCTGCCATAATGTTGAAACAGCAGAAACGCACCATTTTATACTTCATGGAGCTACGTCGTAATGGAAGCCGACCTGTCTTAAACCTGACTTAAAGGGGGTCAGGGAGTCGACCATGACCCGCATACGACAGTTTCCTACCCCAACCAACCATCCTGCAAAATTGGGTGAGGTTAGCCCCAAGCGTCTTGGGGCTAGCCTCAAGCTAGCTAGCGGGCGTCCGTCTTCAACCTTCGACAGACAGACAGACAGACTGGCATTTCCTTTCATAGATATAGATAGATGAATAACTCTACCACATGCACCACGCCTCCATGCCAAGTCTACCCGACCCCGTCAATTATACACTCCCCCATACGCCATTAATTCCATCCGAGGAACGTCAACCACACCCTTCAGTAACGACATTTGACTCCATGACCCCTTCACCCAAGCCCTGGTTGCCAGCGCACCTAACCGTATTCTTCAGGCTGGGGCTCACGTCCTCCACCACCTCCCCTTCCCTACCCTAAGACCCACCACACACCCTCCAGACTGCATGGCGCCATCATATAAACCTCTCACTTCCCTGCACGCTCCTGTTCCCAAGTACAGTATTATACCCGCGAGTACTGACACGATCAAAAATTCCTTGTGATTGCGCTTGGGCTACACAGATACCATTCCATGGTATGTAATGACCGTACAATTTATATAATCTGTTCATTATAAGCAGCTCATGCCGGGGCTGCAACAAAGCTCGCACGTAGAGGAACGCGCTCATGCCATCATCCAATCAGCGCCTAGCAGGCTTCAGGGTGACCAAGAGGGGGGGGGGGGTTGCAGAGGCCCACCGGATGACTAGTGGCCAAATAGATGGACGGTGTCCAGAGAACGTGACTTCGCGCACGAAGACCAGAGAACGTGACTTCGCGCACGAAGTCCAGAGAACGTGACTTTGTGCACAAAGTCCAGAGAACGTGACTTTGTGCACAAAGTCCAGAGAACGTGACTTTGTGCACAAAGTCCAGAGAACGTGACTTTGTGCACAAAGTCCAGAGAACGTGAGTTTGTGCACGAAGCCCAGAGAACGTGACTTCATGCACCAAGTCCAGAGAACGTGACTTCATGCACCAAGTCCAGAGAACGTGACTTCGTGTACCAAGTCCAGAGAACGTGACTTCGCGTACGAAGTCCAGAGAACGTGGCTTTCATGCACGAAGTCCAGAGAACGTGACTTCGCGCATGAAGTCCAGAGAACGTGATTTCGCGCACGAAGTCCAGAGAACGTGACTTCGTGCACGAAGTCCAGAGAACGTGACTTCGCGCACGAAGTCCAGTTTTAGTTTAGTTCATTTATTATACACCCCGTACCCATCCTGTGGGCGGTAGTGGAAAGGGTTACAGAGGAACATAATGGGCTCAGGTACTGAACCTCACAATTCATTTAGTTAAGCAAGTTACAATCTTGATGAGCTAGTTACAAAATTCAGTATAAGTCGTCACATCAACAAAGGGTTCGAGATCGACCACAAGTACAGTTTCTAAATTAAGCAACTGCACGAAGTCCAGAGAACGTGACTTTGTGCACGACAACAGCCATGGGCTAAAATCACATCTTTTCATCCGACACGGTTGCTTTCGTTAAAGCTGGACACAGCAACACATATTGATTGCTCGTTAGTAACAGCTTAATTCCCCCTCCTCCCCTCCCCCCCCCTTCCTACCCGCGCACCCGCATCTCTCCCCTCCCCCCTCCCACACGTATTCTCTTGAGGTCGTTCAACCAAGAATAAGGAAGGGAGAACCCTGAGGTGGTGCGCGGGGTGCTCATGATATTAAATCTTCCATCTTTCTGCCAGTGTTAACCTTCCCACTTCCCCCTCCATCCAACACCCCGGGTGTTTGAAGGTGCTACGTATCTTTCTCAACACCGCCTCTAATCCGGGATACCTGATGCTCTTCTCCCTCCTCTATCTCACCTAGAGGAGGTTATGGAGGTCACCTTAGCCACAGATATTAATGATATTATCGCAAAGCTTCTTCCAAACACCACTACAATCATCCCAACAACCACTCTGACCATCGTCCCGTATGTCAACTCCACCCACTTCCCAGTGAACACAATATCCAAGAGCGATGCCGAATCAACGTTCAATTAACGTAGATACATCGTTGATTTAACGTTAATTTGACACTGAAATAACGTAGATTTAACGTTAAATTAACGTAGATTTAACGTTGAATTAACGTAGATTCATTGCCTAACCAACGCCACTCTTAAATGTTTTGCCTAATCCATCATCGCAACAAATGATCGCGCTCAACCTTGCGTCCCAACCCGGCCTGCATGACGCCGGGCCGCAGCACGTCCGCCCTTATAATGGTTCCCATAGTCCGAGGACAGGGATTAAGGCCGTCACTGACCTTTTCAAGGTCCCTCTTAGGGCTAGGTCGTCACTGGGCCTCCTCGGATCCAACCCACAACACGTGTAATTAAACTCGCTCGAAAACTTACTTGTTGCGTTTAGGGTTTAATTAAAGGTATAGGGTTTATTGTTAGGGGTCACGGTAATGTTAAATAATGTCATACTGTGAATAGATTGATTGATGAAGATTAAGCCACCCAAAAGGTGGCACGGGCATGAATAGCCCGTAAGTGGTGGCCCTTTATAAGCCATTACCAGTATCAAGAGCTGATACTGGAGATCTGTGGAGGTGCGAATGCATCCTGCATGACGGGAGATGTCTCCCTTGTGAATGTGTTATGATGAAGATGAAGCCACCGAAAAGGTGGCACGGGCATGAATAGCCCGTAAGTGGTGGCTCTTTTGAGCCATTACCAGTATCAATAGATGAGACTGGAGATCTGTGGAGGTGCGGCTGCACCCTGCGTGATGGGAGATGTCTCCCGTCCGGCATACTGTGAATAGATTATTAATGAATATAAGTTAACAATATAACACAGCTCATCAAAGCTGTAATTTGCTGCTACATTTAATTATTTGGGTTTCGTTATGTCATTATATTCCTCTAACATTTTCAGTAAACACTCACAGGATGAGTAATGCGGGTGCAAAATAAATTAACTACACTCGACCCTCCACGACACTTTGTGTGGCACCCCCCTCCACGACACTTGTGTGGCACCACCCTCCACGACACTTGTGTGGCACCCCCCTCCACGACACTTGTGTGGCACCCCCTCCACGACACTAGTGTGGCACCCCCTCCACGACACTTGTGTGGCACCCCCCTCCACGACACTTGTGTGGCACCCCCCTCCACGACACTTGTGTGGCACCCCCCTCCACGACACTTGTGTGGCACCGCCCTCCACGACACTGTGTGGCACCGCCCAGCCTGCTCCCCTCTACAGCACCTGACACATGGGTCAGCACACAAGACGAGCGTGGCAGCACCAGCCCCTCCACATAAACAATGGTACACCACGATAATAAAGCCACCAAACACCTTGTTTATGAAGGAAAAACAACTTCCTACACCACTCATATATATATATATATATATATATATATATATATATATATATATATATATATATATATATATATATATATATATATATATATATATATATATGTTATATTGTAAAATATATTTATTGTAAAAAATAAATATATACAGTATATTGTAAAATATATTTATTGTAAAAAATAAATATATACAGTAATATATCTTATACTGACCTTACCCAGATTGTAACCCGCATCAGTTGCCTAACTCTTAGGTACCTATTTAAATTGTTAGGTGAACAGTATCAGCAAGTGAAAGAAATCGTGCCCAAACGTTTCTGTCATGCCACAAACATCGAACCGGGGACGTGTCGGATGTGAAATGTGCGAGGTGACCAGCGCGCCACAGCTCCGTGTGTGCCAGATGTCACGTTTGCGTGCAGTCGGAGGGTAAGGTGTCGTAATGTGTAATGTTCAACAATTCTCCCTTCCACTGGTTGATGAGGGGGAGGGGAGGTGGTGGAGGGGGAGGGGGTGGAAGGGGAGGAGGGTGGAGAGGGACGGGAAGGGAATTATCAAGGGAAAGCGTCAAGCAAAGTCAAGCCAAACTGGGAAGAAACCTCTTCCCAGTGCTATATAGCACTGGGAAAAGGTCAGGATAAGGCTTGGGGATGGGACGGGGAAAAGGAATGGTGCCCAACCACTTGGACGGTCGGGGATTGAACGCCGACCTGCATGAAGAGAGACCGTCGCTCTACCGTCCAGCCCAAGTGGTTGGGTGGGTGGAGAGGGAGCGAGAGTGAAGGGGTGAGGGATTGTGGGAAGGAGGGATAGTTGATGGACGGGAGGATGGTAGATGGGTTAAGTGTTCGTGCTAAGAAGCAGGAAATTACTTAGGCGTTCTAGTATATAATTAACAAATCTCCAGAAGTCATGCAATATGCATGAGAGACGAATGTATACTTAATATTAATAACAGAAGCCGGTGAGACGCAGTGCCCTACAGCGTATCATACCGGATCAGAAATTCTAGGTAACTTACCAGGTTTCTGTAAAGCACTTAACAGATATCCACACTCCAATTTTTACGTTATACCCGCCCACACTCAGGTGCGTGTGGGGGTTCCCCACTGTCTTCCTACCATGCCACTGGTGAAGAAATTGTAGTTTTGTGAATATGAAGGGGGATGGGGGAAGGCTAAGAGGGGCAGTCAATGTGAATATGATGAAACAAGGATTCAGTGTGAAGAAGAGAAGTAAGTAATTATCAAAAAAGGCACAAAGCCGGGTGAAGAAGAAAAGATTGTGTGAAGTAGAAAAAGATTGTGTGTGAAGGAGAGGATTGTGTGAAGGAGAGGATTGTGTGTGAAGGAGAGGATTGTGTGTGAAGAGAGGATTGAACATAAAACGGTGTACAGGATGAGAGTTGACAAGGCTAGGTGGCTACAGTTTGTTTAAAATTAAGTTTTTGTTATGATAACTCACAAGGTGCACTGTACACTTCATATTTGGAGATGGGGGGCATTGGTTTGTAGGTATTTTCTAAAGTGTGTTTGTGTCGAATCCTTATGATGCAACATAGTGTGCAAGACATGGTGAACAGAAGAGGCATTTTTAAATGTCTTTTGCATTCTTTTCTTATACTACTCATCTTTTTCTCTGGGCTGATGCCTCTCCACCCAATAATAGTTGTTAACTGGATAATGATGATGATGAGTTGTAACAAACGATATTATTTAGTGATTTAAAAAGGAAGGCAGATAATGTGTGTGACAGTGCTCTATGTATTTGAACTCCTCAGGGTAATTTGTTTACTAATTACTTACTGTGAGAGGTTTTGTAACCTTATTTATGGAAATGCTTTTGTATATAGGCAGTACAGGTAATAAAACAATTGTTATTTTCATTTAGTTATGACAGAATTTGGTAATAACAAATAAATGTTATTAAATATTTTATTGATAGACAAAGTACATTAGTTGCATTACAAAAAGAGTTACCAGAGTAGTACAGTTACATATTTTTTCAGCATTAGCATTGTCATTACCGATAAATTATATATATTTCATGCATATATAGAAAGCATATCAGTTTATCTTCTTTTGCTTATTTGCATCAGTAGATCAAATAAAATACAATTTTCATTATTATAATGTATGAATAGTAATTATAATGAGTATATGGAAGTTAGAGCTATGGAAACTAAAACTACAAGAAAATATCAATAAAAATAATAAAAATCTGACACACATTTCAGGGAATAAAAATTCCAATTCCATAAAAAGATGGCAATAAATTCTCTAATGCCCAGCACAGGCAGTAGTGGTAAAGCAAAAACATATAATAATAAGTGTTAGATTTTAAGGTGTGATGTTTTGCGTTGGGGTCGTTACTGGTCAACCTTCACATCATTATGGCTAACGATATACTGTATTGTATTGTATTAAAATTATCATAAACTTATAAAATACATCTCATTAACAAAATAATTCAATAATGATTTGAAAAAAAAACAATTACCTAGCATTCAAAATCTAATAAAAGAATTTTAAACAATATAAGTAGGTTAAAAAAAAACACTTCATAAAAAATATTACTAACAATTTTAGCAGGTTTTTAAGCCTACATCTATCACAACCAAAATTCCTTGCACTGATTATGATCTCTCAATCAAGTGTGCTGAAAGTTTTGTTTACAATCAATAAATCTGAATTTTTGGTTCTTTTTCTACACACCAGCATGGCAAAATTATATGATAAACATAATACAATTGTTAAATCTTTACATATGATACAAGATATAAATCTTAAATTATTTTCATTTAATAAAATCCTGTAAATATTTACCTATAAATTTGCCTTGCTAATACCTGGATACCTTGATGCAAGATCCTTGACTCCTAATTTACAAAGATATAAACAATGGAAGGAGCACACATACAAATTTCAGATGTCACCGATACAATGACATCCAGCAACCAGGTCTACTGAAAGAAAGTACTATAGACAAGAGTAAGAGCCCACCTGGGGCCTACCTGTTCATGAACTATATGCAAAAAGAGGCTTATAAAATCTAGGTTACCAGCAACTCCCTCACACAACCTCACAAATATAATATGTAAAACTGAACAGAAATTTGTACACGTAATAAAGTATTGCCAATTAGCTTTGGTAAACCTAAACCCTGCACAGATATAATGCTTCTATATCAAGAACGTTTTAAAGAAAATAAAGAACTACATGCAAAGCAAATATAATATATAATGTATAATAATAATAATAATAATAATAATAATAATAATCTCCTTCATAGAAATAACACTATAAACTCTTAGTGACTTCATGAAACACTGACCATGGAAAGATAATAATTGGCCGAATGACAGTTGGCATCGTGAACGAGACAATTCCAAATCCCTCATCAGACAACCACCAAGGGCTTATGATGCAATAAAATTATCTTGTGCTAATAAAGTGGCACAAACACACACCTTACAATAAGTTTAAAGTAGTGTCTTCTCATTGTTATATTGCAATAATAAAATAGGAAAGCTTTGCAACTCTTAAATATTTAATTCGTCTGATGTTTGGGGTTGGATAAGGCTCGAACAAACCATTGCTGACATCACGGCTAAATGAATGTATCACAAGCTAAGGTTACAAAAGAAAATATTGGCCGCAGCCTAACACAAGCAAAGACAACTCTGACTTGTGGTCAAGACAACAAGAGCCCAGGTTCCCTCCAAGGCAGCTGCATCAACTCACAACACCACTAACCACCGAAGCACTTCACAATTTCCATTTACAAGAAATTTGTCCTGTAATAATATAAGGACCCAAAAAAGCCAAATACAGTTCAATCTGTAAGTCTAACAGTTTTATAAAAGAAAATGGTGGTCAAATGCCTCAAATATTTCCAACACTAAAATATCCCCCCTCCCATATACATCTGGTTTCTGAGTTATATTTATGCTTATTTCACAGTAGAAAAGTATGAAATCTGCATAAAATACTTTGTCTTGCACAGCAAACACATTGGCTATTTGAGAATAACAGAGGCATTGACGTGATAAATGTGTGGTTGATGTCACTATAAGGCTGAGGGATGATATGCCACAACCTATGCATCTCAACCTTCATGGCTGGTGTGGGCACGATTTTCCTGTCTTGCCACCACCCAGAGAAAACTTTGACACTCAGGGAAGAACTCACCACAATGGTCCGGGTTACTCCCCGCCACAGCCCTTGTGGGGGGTCAAGGCTAACAGAACAAGCACCCAATTTATGAGAGACTAATAGCATACGTTTAATCAGAAATTGAAAACTGACAATATTCCAAAATGTGATTATTTAACACAGAAATTATTGTACTTGGTATTCCTGCAGCAAATTTAATGTTGTGTTATCTTTTATTAACTTGGGAAGTGGAAATGTATCTTAAAATATGCTAAATATAAATGGGGCACTTTTCCAAGGAGCCACAGAAGACCCTGCTGCTGCAGCGAGGATCATGTCCCACACACTGCAGGGAGAGACAATATTGTGTTTACAGTTTTCCTGAATTATCTGTGGGGCCTGAACAAAGAAATGAGACGTTGAGGGATAACTTGGATTTGTGCCTACACACCACATTTGGCACAAGATATAGTTCATAAGGGGGATACACCACCCTGTAACCTAAGGCTGATTCACATAGGGATGCAAGATCAAGGAAGCCCTCAATGCTGTACATCTAGGGGGGTTCCTCACATGACTGTTAACTAAGCAAAGACCCGTACAGTAAATCTCTTAGCAGTAATAGACTGCAGGAGTGTTTATAACAATAAGCATATGTATTTATGTACATATGGATATGTGCAAATGTGTATTATGTATATATATTTGAACACGTACTAACCTAGTTGTGAGCACATGTTTAAATACATATTACGTAATACACATTTGCACATATCCATATCCATTACATGTGTATGTGTATGCTTGTCTATGTGAAGTATGTTCACAGTGTATTTCAATCTGTATGGTATAAGTGAAGTACAATACAGTATGTATGTTGTGTGCCTGAATATGTTCATGATGTGTGTGAAGTATATGTGGTGTGTGACATGTAATTACCTAAGCATGGTTACAGGATGAAAGCTATGTTCATATTTGTGTGTGTTTTTGTGTGTGTGTTTACTATTTGTGCCTGCAGGATCGAGCTGTTAGCTCTTGGTCCCGGGCTTTCTAACCTTCAATTATCTAATGCCCTATTCTTCAACCTACGGTCTGTGGAAATTTCCTGGAGGTCTGCAAAAATTTTGCCCGAATCATGTAGCCGCTACATGATTCAGATACATCAGGACACTGCTGTCGACAATGATTCACCTGAAGTATAGGTGAATTGTGTGGCTGCCGAATGCTAGTACTGTACTGTATTGCGCCAGCTCACTTGTCGACAACATGCCGCAAAAAGTCTTATTTTATAGTGCTTGTGTGTATTATTACCACTCAAAAAAGAATATCCATCTCCGAGTTATAAAACTATCAAATTCTTGGCCATTATTTTTACTTCCTATTTGAGTGAAAAGACTTTTTCAGCCATGTCAGTAATAAAAACCAAACAGAGAAATTAAATAGATGTTAATGCAGTGCCTCAACTCTCAGAAACAATGATGCAGCCTGAATATATCAAGTTTTCTAACAAAGAAGCAGCAGCAGATGTTGCACTAAAGTTTGTGATTTTATAATATTAGATTTAATTAATCAAATACTACTTACATTGATTTTTATTTGTGTTAGCCTTCGACCGGTCTGTGAAATATTTTCCCCGTTTTTGCCAGTCCGCAGGTGTAAAAAGGTTGAAGAATGCTGATCTAATGTACTGACTCCCAACCTATTTTTCCTCTATCATATCTACTATATATTTCTTTCTCACACACACATCCCCAGGGTGCAGCCTATAGTAGCTGTCTAATTCACAGGTTCCTATTTACTGCTACGTGGACAGAACATCAGGTGAAAGAAACTCTGCCGATTTGTTTCTGCCGCGACCGGGAATCAAACCCGAGCCCTTAGGACTACGACCCCAGAGCGCTGTTTGCTTGCCTGCAAGTACCTGTGTGCATGCATGCATGTGTGAATAGTGTGTGTATTCATTTTTATATGATGTGTGTGTGTGCATTCATTTGTATATAGTCTGTGTGCAAGTGTGTTTATGCATGCATTTATACTGTACATACATGCATGATATCATGTGTCCATGAATGTGTGTACATGTGTGCAAATATGCATGATATATACTGTGCCCATGGATATATGTACTATAGTGTGCATACATGCATGTGTATGGTGTGTGTGTATCTGCATGTATCTGCCAGATGTATGCAAATACTATTATGTTTATGTACATGCATACAGATGCATGTACATGTGTAAATATGCATGTACTCCATTCAAATGATAAAGTTCAATCCTTAATATAGAAAAACTTTTAATATTTTGATCTACCTCAAGCACACATACCACTGTATGTGTGTACAGCTTGTCAAGTTGTACCCTTCAGCTGAGTACAACATTGAGTGCCTCCTTCCCCAGCTCCCTTCACTTCTATCTGTTCTCTGTCCTTTCATAAGCTTGGCAAAAAAATCACACTACTTAACTCAATTCTGCAAATGTTCAAAAAATAACAGAATAACAGTAAAATATATTAATTTTCTTACAATGTGAACCTGCTGACCCAGAAGCATGTATTTTGACAAGCTTATGACAGAATAGACTTTGTATGGCAACAAATTGATGCACCGTATACATATTCCAGACCGTTTGATTCAGTCCTGAATGACTACTTAATGGTACTATAAGACATGTTAAAAGCCTTCGGCAAAAGTGCAGCATCTGCCGAGAAAACATGTGGTAATACTAAAGGCAGATCTTATTTCCATCACTGAAAGAAAAGGTTCACATTTAACAGACACGTAAGTCATATGCCTCTTTCTCTTTACTAACACCAACAAATGATTTAAAAACATATTCTTTGATTAAAATTACTTCAGTTGCTACATCTATAAAAAATTCATGTAAAATACATTTAGATCCTATACCAAAATGTAAGGGATACCCAATATTATATTCATTCATTGGTGGGTGGCAGCGCAGAGAAAATGTGCACCTACTGTAAATATGCCTTTTAGATATGACCTTAAAAATTATATCAGGTAATTAAGTAAAATTGTCATGTATGGCAGAACGGACCCCACAGTCATTTTATCCCCCAAAAGAAACTACTCGCATTAAACACACACAGCAGACACACTCAAATAATCTCAAAGAGGCCATAATCCATCTCTATAAACACATGCATGCAAAAACTCCTCAAACAAGAAAGCCTTCTCAAAGGTTGCCACTATATGCGATTGAATGATATATATATATGAATACTATCAGTTCTACACACTATAATCTTATTAATTATATAAAGTAATAAAGAGGCATTGCATATGCAGTTTCATTTTAGTTCTTAAAATTCTTACAGGTACTAGGGGTTCTAAAATTTTTGCACAGTAGAAGTTAAAAACCTTAAATTAAGAAAAAATATGCTCAAGACAGGAAAGACACTTAGAAGGTGAAACCAGCAAATTGCATCCAAAAATGTGTCACGGTCAGTTGTTCAGAGCCTTGGGGGACCCGTCTAGTACATCAACAACTCGAAATTCAGAGCATCAAACAACGATGCCGGGCACTTTACATCCTGTGTAGCTGATAAGCAGTAAGCAATTTGCTTATAAAATTCCTGGATATGTTATTTATGTGTATTGAGGAACGATAAAGTGGCCAATAACGATGAATGGTAGTGATCTATAGTCTACTTCTGTTTTCAGAACAAAGCACTTAATGAAAAAAATGACACTCACTCCTGTACAATACAGCAATGTTTTGATTGTAAGCAATATATAGAAAAAAATAAATGCTTCTTTGGATCTGGATAAATCACCTCCACTGTGAGAACAAAGTGTCAAGCAAATGTATTACACATTCTGAAACAAATACCAGAGGAAGCATCATTACAAAATTATATGTTTCTGGATTTTAATATTTTAAGAAATTTACTGTTGTGTTACTTAATATATATATATATATATCAATGTTTGTCTTGTAGCTCTACTTTCTCTAAGTTCAATTGTGTCACTACTGTGTTTTATTGACTGGTAGACGGAGTGTTGATGAGGATCAACTTTCCCTGAGTTGGAGCGGGTAGCTGAGCCCTAATGAGCCTCCCCTGCAAGGATGTTCCGACCTTGTTACAAACCCAGTGTGTAATGTCAAGGAAGCACCAGCCCATTCCTGCTATCATACCAAATTCTCTGCTTACACAACAAATATCACATCTTAACATTTGCATTAACTTATCTTCTTTAATTTTAATGAAATGCAAGTTCCTAAAATATTTGATTACATGGTGCTTTGTTTAAACTTCTTCAATAGAGCAAATTAATTGAATATACCCGAGTCTCTCGTTCCATCACTGCACACAAAGACTCCGTACAACAGTGTGGTGTAAGGACCTGGACAATCACAACTAAACACCTGTAGAATTCTTAACCATTCTTTCTAAAGCCATCAGATCAAATACCCCTAAGCAAATACAAACCATAACCAAGAACATTAGATGGTAATGCAAGAAGCTTAATACAGTACTTGTGTGTAAGAAGCTTAGATCATCAACATCTTGTGAACATGCTGTTAGTTATGATAAAAGCTTGCAGGGGTCCATTAAAGCTGTTTCCAGGAGCTGAAAAAGCTATCCTGTTCACTAACGCTGAAGAGTCTCTCACAACAAACTATATACAGCCTAATCTCGTTTGCTCGACTAAATTCTACAGTAGAAAATTTCCCACTGTAAAACTAGATACTGCATTTGGGAGTTTATGAAGCAAAACTCTCAACTTGTGTAAGACAGAGTAGGCAAGAACAATGGCAACAATATAAGGGCAGCATTAGTGAAATGCCATAAAATCTCTCCAGTTCTTTGGGAAACACTTGACACCCACCACCATTAGTTTAATTACGATGGAGACTTTCTTAAAATATGTGGGTGATTAGTGTTTTATATCTAATTAAAGAAACAAGATGCTAGAGGCATCACTGATGTTGAGAATGTTTGCATCATCAGCATTTGAAGTGCTGATGATGCTTTTCAAGAAAGCCCTGACTATGCAGTAGAGCATTATGAAGTGGAAGCCTTGCTGCATCACTTACTTTAATAAAATATATAAAATAATGACTCATAATACTTCTCTCCTGCACATAAAAACACCAAGTTAAATTTTGCCATTAGAAATACATTAGGTAAGCTATTTAAAGTTATTCTACAATCAAAAATACTTTTTCTTCAGAGATGTATTGAAATTGCATCCTTGTAGTTTGTCGAACAAACGATGACTGACTTTTAACCTTTAATATCTGCAGCACTCTATCACCTGAACATTTGACCACCACAACCAGTAACTCCACAACACAATGCTGGTTTAATATTCATAGTATGATTTGCTACATTTGGGGCATGTGAAAAATAGTGAAATCATAGAGCATCAACTCGGCTATCTCGTGCCTCTTTCTGTTTTTCAATTTTATTTCTTAATGATATTTGGAAGAAACACCAAGGTAGGGTTTAGAAAGGCTTCACTGTGCATTTAAGCTCATCAATTCACTCTTAAATTTGTTTCTGGAGACTCTTGAGGAAGAGTTTTTGATTCTAGCTCAGAGAGATGCTCAATCTCCTCCTCCAACTTTATAAGCTCTTCTTCTTCATCATCATCATCTGCATCCTCTATATTTGCTTTTTCTCTACCTTTGGTATCTTCAGCCACTCTTGTTCCCTCTGTGTCTCCACCAAACTGTGCCTTAGTATTCTTTAACCCTTTACCTTCAACTTCCTTATGCCACTCATCCTTGTTGTAAGGAGAGTCTGGATTGTAGTTGGGTGAATATGGTTCTTCCTTTGGCTCGCACAGCTGAACAATAGGTTCAAGATTCGGTCCTTCTGTCCCTTCTTCTCCATCTTCTGTCTCATCATCACCATCATCTAACTCCTCATCCTGTGCTCCCTCTTCTCTTTCAGACTTCATTAAATATTTTGATTCTCTAAGTATCTTGATTTTAAGGCTTTTGATAGGGTGACGCTTCTTTTTATGAGTCTTCAAGCAACGTTTAAGCCTGAACATTGCTGGGCATTCGTCACATTTGATTCTACGCCTTCCCTGCCCCGGCCCCTTTCCATGCATTCTTTGTATGTGAGTTTTTAAGTTTGATCGCTGTGCAAATCCAGCTCCACAATGATCACATTCAAAAGGTCTATCACCTGAATGTAGCTTCATATGAATTCGTAGATTGCTCATCATTGTAAATTTTGCACCACACTCAAGACAGGTATAAGGCTTAATTGCACATGGATTTTTTTTGCGACCTCTCCTTGCTGGCGTGCCTGTCTCCCCACAGTGAACTCTGTTTTTATGAGCTTTAAGGTTTGATTTTTGTGTAAATGCCTTCTCACACTGATCACATTTGTGAGGTCTTTCACCAGTGTGTGTGACAGCATGAGTTTTCAAATTAGCAATTTGTCGAAATGCAGCATCACACTGATCACATTTATATGGCCTTTCATCTGAATGTATTTTTTGATGTGTTTTCAGTGTTGACAGCTGAGTGAAGCAGGACTTGCACTGTGGACACTGGTAAGGTCGTTCACCTGTATGGATTCTTCTGTGGGCTCGAAGATTACCTTGTTGAGTAAACTTTGATCCACATACTTCACATGTGAATGGCTTTTCTCCTGTATGTCGCCACATATGGTTCTTCAGCTGAGTGCTATTCTTGAATATTTTTTCACATTCATTGCACTTGTGTACTACTGGAATACGAGGGGGTTTTGGTTCCTTAGGTTTTTTGGGTTTTGGAGGCTTGGGAGTTGAAGGCATTGGAAGCTCATGTCCTAACATTGGAGGGTAATCCTGACTGAAGGGCTTGACATCAATATATGGCTTTACTTCTAGATCATCTTCCATTCTCATATTATCACGGTGATCTCTGTCCTGGCCATCACTTATGTATTGGTTAAACTGGGAATTATAATGACTTGAGTAAAATTGATGCTGTGTTGGTGCAGGAGTGCAAGAGGGATCACCCATGGAAGATACAGATGAAACAGGAGTAGGTGGACCAAGACTATTGTGACTCAAGTCTCCTCGATACAAGGATTCTGAGTAACGAGGAGACTCAACCCGCATTGAATGTGAAGATTCTGACATCATTCGATGAGTCAAGGCATCATAATGTGAGCGCATAGGGGGCATAGGTGAATCTGGAGGAGGTAGTGCATTCATCCTCAATCCACTTGTGTTGTTTGTGTTTTCGTGATTAATACGTAGGTTCTCTGGCATAACTTGATGAGAAGGCTCAGTCACACAAAGATTTTCTGGGACCATACGAGATGCTTCAGATGTCACCCTGAGATTCTCTGGCATCAAAGAATGAGTTTGAGAATTTTCTGAACCTAAACGTAGATGATGAGGTGTGTCTGCTCCAAGCCGCATATGATGATTACCTTCAACTCCCAGATGATGATGTGGAGTTTCAGAGCCCATACGAAGGTGCTGTTGTGAAGATTCTCCACCTAATCGAAGATGCTGAGAAGCTTCCACCCCTAGTCGCATATGCTGAGACGATTCAGGTCCTACACGTAGATGTTGAGTTTCTACTCCTATTCGTATATGCTGTGGGGTTTCTGCTCCTACTCGTATATGTTGAGGAGTTTCTGCCCCAACTCGCAGATGATGAGGAGTTTCTGCCCCAACTCGCAGATGATGGGGAGTTTCTGCTCCAATTCGCATGTGCTGTGAAGTATCCATCCTACTTTGAAGATGCTGGGGAGTTTCTGATCTAACTTGAGCATGCTGCGGAGTTTCAGCCCCTACTCGTAGATGTTGAGGAGTTTCAGCCCCTACTCGTAGATGTTGAGGAGTTTCTGCCCCTAATCGAAGATGTTGAGGAGTTTCTGCCCCTAACCGAAGATGCTGAGGAGTTTCTGCCCCTAGTCGAAGATGTTGAGGAGTTTCTGTCCCTAATCGAAGATGTTGAGGAGTTTCTGCCCCTAATCGGAGATGTTGAGGCGTTTCTGCTCCTAATCGAAGATGCTGAGGTGTTTCTGCCCCTAGTCGAAGATGTTGAGGAGTTTCTGCCCCTAATCGATGATGCTGAGGAGTTTCTGCCCCTAATCGAAGATGCTGAGGAGTTTCTGCCCCTAATCGAAGATGTTGAGAAGTTTCTGCCCCTATTCGAAGATGTTGAGGAGTTTCCGCTCCTAATCGAAGATGCTGAGGAGTTTCTGCCCCTAATCGAAGATGTTGAGGAGTTTCTGCTCCTAATCGAAGATGTTGAGGAGTTTCTGCCCCTAATCGAAGATGTTGAGAAGTTTCCCCTCCTAACCGAAGATGTTGTGGAGTTTCTGCTCCTATTCGAAGGTGTTGAGGATTTTCTGTTCCTATCCGTAGATGCTGAGGCGTTTCAGCACCCCCACGAAGATGTTGAGGGGTTTCGGCACCACCTCGAAGATGTTGAGGAGTTTCTGCCCCTAATCGAAGATGTTGAGGAGTTTCTGCCCCCAGTCTAAGGTGTTGAGGAGTTTCTGCTCCTCCTCGAAGATGTAGAGGGGTTTCTGATCCTATTCGAACATGCTGGGGAGTTTCTGATCTGACTTGGAGATGTGGGGTGTCAGCTCTCACCTGTAGATGCTGAGGAGTTTCTGCACCTACACGTAAGTTTTCTGGCATTATGCATTGATTAGTTAAATCTGTTCCATATCTTAATGAATCAGACCGAATATTATCACTTGAGTAGCGTAAATTATCAGTTATCATTCTTTGGTCAGTTGGAGACCTTAAGTTTTCTTGCAAAGCTCTCTGAGAAGGGTTAAAATAATCTCTGAGGCTCTCTTGTACCATACGTTGTGCATCTGCATGACTACGGATGGACTCTTGCACAGTGCGCTGAGAAGGTTCTGAAGGGGGCCTCAAGGGATCGGACATTATACTGCGATATGGGGTCTCAGGACTTCGCACTGATTCTGATACTGGTGGACGTAAAACTTCAGCAACTAGTCTTTGAGGATCAGATTGCAGCCTTTGGAGGTCGGAAATAAGACGCTGTGCATTTGAAGCCAGCTGCTGTCGGTTAGATTCTTGTGTTCTTTGTATATCTACTTGATTTCTATACGAGTCACTTGGAGATCTCTGATATGGATCTAAATTTTGCTCTTCTGTTCGCTGCAACTCTGATCGTATTCTCTGAAGATCAGCTGGCAGGCGCTGAGATTCACTTGATTGTCTGTAAGGATCAGCTGACATTCTTTGACTATCTATGCCATATCTGTTTTGATCTAATGACTCTGCAGCCAATCTATAGGATTCTGGAAGATACCTGTGTGCCTCTGGAGGTGCCCCAGTCATAAACTTTGTCCCTGAAAACATCATATTATGTCCCAGAGCCATAAGTTGTGCACTCTGGGACATTAAACTTGAACTAGGGCTGGATATACTGGGATACGAGGCTGGGATTTGTTGGCCAGGGACGGATGACGGATGCGGAAACATTGCTCTTCCATCAAGTGCACCCGATGGTGTGCTGCTGCGACTTCCACTCTGCATCTGAGAAGAATTTTTGTATTATTATTATAAAATATTTTGCAACTAACAATTTTCATACAAAAATATTATACTATATATAATATTGTATTATATACAATATAGTACAGTATACAGAATATAATTACTGTAAATGGGGTTTCTCCAATTTCTAATATCCTCTTGATAAATTACTAAGATTCACAATGTTGCTTAAGCAAAATGTAGTAAGAAAGCTTAAGGCTGTGAACATCTTTTGTTTTCCACCAATTTTGTGTGTATGTTGGTTATTATTACTGTATAATAATAATAATAATAATAATAATGATAATAATAATAATAATATTATTATTATTATTATTATTATAATGGAATTTAAGGTGTAATCCCAAGTGCCGGGACTCCAGGCCTCCTATATATGCCTCCACGCATATAGGAGAGAAACATAGAAAACAAATGTAATTATTGTTAATCTGGTACTGCATAGGACAATGACTAACTTCTCTTACTGCACTTAAAGGTGCATGTGTGTGTGTGAAATTGAAATTTGAAAGAATCAAGGTGGCAAATTGTTATTACATATGCCCTGTGAGAAGACAGTAGCAGCAACAAGAGAGATTTTTCAGGGGGCAGGTCCCTTCAGGTTATACATTATAGTTAGTGCACTCAGAGTATAGAACAACATTTGATATGCCAGTGATTGTCTCAGCTCACCAGAGGAAAGCAACATCCAAATCTCAGTCTTGCTTCTCAAAGGTGCAGGATGCATGTGAGGATCAGAGATCAACTCACTACTGAGGCAAAACTGTCCATAAAAGTGTCACAAAAAGTGTCCAGTGGTGTGGCAACATGATGACGTCATGCTCGTTTGCTAATTTTAGTTTGGGTAGTTCTGTTCACTTGTTCGGTTTTTGGTAGCAATACTTTCACCAGAATAGGGGTTTGTTTTGGGACGCCTACCTTTCTGGGTGCCAGATCCGGTCGATGGCAGACATAGAATGCTCCCAACCACATGGGAGTTTCTATAGGTCATTGCTCCTTGTACCTCTCTTGAGGGGGGCCAGGTTCTGGCTCATGGTCCCCGGTAGGCAAGAACTCCATGCACATTGACTAATGCCAGAAAGTTATACTGTACATATCCATTCAGCCTGGATAGCTAAGGGGGGAGCCAATGGGGCTCCCCCCCCCAGAAACTAAGATTTACAGAGAAACATTTTGAAATTAATTATTTATTACTAAAATTCAGAACAGCTTAACCACCATTAAAAAAACTCAGCACCTAGCTCAATGCCCTACCACCAGCCAGCCAGTGGCTGGCTGGCTGGTGTATGCCGATTGATAAAGATTAAGCCACCCAAGAGGTGGCACGGGCATGAATAGCCCGTAATGGTGTGTGCTGACCACTCTTCATTGCTTTTTGACTCACAATACCAACTTTTGTGGTATTGGTGGTTATTATAGTGAACAAAACATGCAGATACTTATATATAACCTGTGTATATAGTGTAATAACAGCAAAACTATTTGTTTATTGTTTTATGAACATAATAATTGAATCACTAATATGCACACCATAATTTTGAGTACTGTACAGCAATGGTTCACACATTTTATTATATAAATATATCACAATACACAGTATGGAATAAAATTAAAGAAAAAAAATGAAAAAATCAGACATTTAAATAATTAGGTAATAATATCTTTGTGGCAACTCCCACCTGACAGCTGGGGGCAGAGCAGACCTAGTCTGGCGCCTGCTCTGTCTAAACTTCTTTTTTTGCCAGACTTCCCTGCCCTATTGCGCCCAAAATATGCCACCTTCGATTTTTTCCCCGTGATCAGGGAACTCAAATGAACACTTTTATATGACGAAAGAATTTTTTTTATTTTTATTTTTTGTTGCGTCTGTGAGTGCTGAAGGCCAAAAGGCCCTTAGCGACCTAAGGGTTAACCACTGTGATGGGCCGCATTTCTTGTGACATTTTAGCTGTGTGACAAAAATAAAGTGTTCCAAAAACAGTATTTGTTCTTTTGTTATTGTTAATTAGCACCCAGGAAGCACGAAAATCCAAGTACAAAGTCTCTATCTCTTGCAGTTTAGACGTAGTTGCCTGAAGAAGTTGCATTTTTGGGGTAAAAATTAGGAGATTTGCTGTATGGGAATAACTTTGTTAACCTATTTTCAATGTTTCTCACTGTACAGTATTTATTTAGTTTTTTACTCTAATAAGTTGTATCTATGTGTCAAAGATGGTGTTTATTATGTATAACTTTGAAATTATACATATATACAGATATATGTGCATAAATATATGCACACCATGCATTTATTCAATATACATATATAGATCTATATATAAGCCTAAATCTTATAATTGGACATATTACAAATTTTGCCTGAAATATATAATGGTAATCACTCACTCACTGCTGTTAAACTTTCAGTGGCTCATAGTATGGCTGCCCTGCACGTTCGTAAGGCCATGGCATTAGGATTGTTTCATAGGCCTTAGTAGCCTAGAACACACTACTAAGCCCAAAAAAGGAAAGTGAGGGACTCAGGATGTTTTTTCAAGATGGGGGATGGTTACTGGAAGTCTGAGGAAGTAAAGGTGTGCCCCCCCTTGTATGCACTGGATTTTCGATTCTTATGATATACTAACATCATTTCTTGGTTGGGGCATTTTCCGGCAAACGAGTATTCTCGGCTGGCGCAGCATAGTCGTTAATCATTCAGATAAGTGGGCTAAATTTCCTTTTGCACATTTAATTTTAGCATTTGGGGCACATGCTTTTTATGAGAAATTGAAATTGAAATAAGTTTATTGAGGTAAAATACACATAAAGGGATGAGGTAGCTCAAGCTATTCTCACCCCGTTCAGTACATCGTGTTAATACATACATATACACACATCACAAACAATAAACATATTACCAAACATTCTGAGAGATAAACATATACATTTCCTCTTTTACACAAGTATTCCTTTTCATGAGTGTTCTTTGCTATCTTCTCTGCTCTAGCACTTATTTCAAGGATCCCTTAATTGGCCCTACTAGCGAAGACAGGTAACCACCATTTACCTTCCTGTTTTAAAACCATACTGTCTGTCCATTATTATTTCACCGCTTTCAGGTATTCTACCCATTTGACTTTAATTATTTTATAGGGACTTTACTACCATGCTGGTCAATGATATAGATTTATAATTTTGAGGGTCTTCCTTGTTTTTTATTCTTTAAGATTGGAACTATGACTGCTTTTTCACAATGTTTACAAGGTTTCCTGTTTGTAAGGATGTTTGGAAAGTAATGTGTAGTGGGGCGATTGGATGGAATTTCCTTAGAACTCAAGGTGAGACTCCATCTGTCATGAATGCTTTATTTCCTTGAGAAGTTTTATACCTTGTCTCTAGATACTTTTAGGTACTCTATGCTGTGTTCATAAGCTGTTATTGTGGCTAGTTCTCTGAAAATCTGATTCCAGGTGAACACATTTAGCAACTGTATATTTAGTGTTTCCACATTTCCTATTCAGTCTCAGAGTCTGAATAGTAGTGTGTGTGTGTTTTGAGCCATACCTTAACACACCCCATGCACAACCAAGTAGGACACCAGTGTAGGACACCAAATATTCAATGTAGGCCCTTAGGCTTAGGGCCTACACTGAATATTTAATGACTCATGCACTGCCTAAGGTGCCACTCTGGTGGTCAGGTCTCTTAGGGACAAACTCCCAAAAATACCAGAGAAGTAACTCAGTGCAGGGGGCAACACTAAATGAGAACCCAGGGAAGGGTCACCCTGAGCACATGTAGCTCGAAGCAGAGAAATTGTCAAGTCCTCACAAGATTGCCGGGGAAGAGCGCTACACACATGAAGCAAATACTAAAAGAATGGAATGATACACAAGGAATGGAATGGCTACTGCAGGACAAAGTTCGAAGGATAGCTAGACCTTACCTGAGAAGCAGTGTTTACCTATCAGTGACATTGGGGACGAAGGATCTAGCTTTTTATGTACTGCCTTCCAGCCATTTGTACATGGCATGGTAAGTACCCCTCTCAAATTAAAGTTTAAGTCATATTTCTTTAAAGTTGTGAATGGAATTGGCTTCAACAATCTCTTCTATCAACGTATTCCACATTCCTACCACCCATACAGGGAACGAGAGCGTCCTTACATCTCTTCAACTCGACTGCATATCCAGCTTCCACCGATGTCCTACCTCTTTTTATTTGAAATAGGTGTCCTTTATCCACTTTATATATTACCCTCAAGATCTTGTATGTAGTTATATTCCCAATGCTTGTTCTCTCCTTTAGGTTGTGAGGCTGAGTTCTCTCAACCTGTCCTCATAACTGAGGCCTCTAAATTGTGGCACTAATCTAGATAGTTCCTATTGTGACATAGTGACCTGGGGAGTACTACTTTGCGAGTCAATATCAGCAACAGGACTGACCTGTGGGTGACTGTTGGCTGGGATTTCCAGGTACTAACTGGTTTGAGCTAGTTTTGAGGAAACCAATTGTTTTGACTGAATCGTTTACAGAGTCATTTGGCTGTTTTGATGCTTCCTTTTCTATGAACTTTTGCAGTTGTCTGTATTATTTTGTTGACTTCTAGATGCTTTCCTGGTGAGAGTGATTGCAAAAATTCCCTGTTCCTTGTGCTTTTGTGATTGGGAAAGGGGGGGGGAGGCTCTGGTTCTGGCAGGCCATACAGGACTTCTGCGACTGACGTAACCAAACAGTGGTGGACCACTACACAGTGAGATAGCTTTTGGGAGCCATGAAAGGGCTTCCTCAGAAATCAAGCATTGAATGTAATGAAACTCCCTTTCCTGATATGTAATTGGTTAAAACCCTAGCAATTAAAATCATACAAGCCTCTGCAACTCGTACTGACTAAGCTAGAGCCCAGACCTAACAAGCTCTCTGTAAAGGTATGGAGAGTTTGGGGATCACAGATCTACCTAAAACTGAGAAAACTATGCAGAAAAATTAAGCAAAACAAAAC